AATCCTCTCTCCTGATGTTGGGCAGAAGAAGCTTCCAGTCAACCCCGCGATCACGAGAGCCAACAACCCATACGCTGGCAACCATTCGGTCCCCAGACAACCGTTCTGATTTTCACTTTCTGTACAGTATTCAGTAAGTTCCCTTATATATTCAATGTTTATTATAAAACAGGCTTTTGGGGCGCCTGGGTGGCTCAGTCGGTTGAGCGTCCGACTTCAGCCCAGGTCACGATCTCGCGGTCTGTGAGTTCGAGCCCCGCGTCGGGCTCTGTGCTGACAGCTCGGAGCCCGGAGCCTGTTTCAGATTCTGTGTCTCCCTCTCTCTCTGACCCTCCCCTGTTCATGCTCTGTCTCTCTCTGTCTCAAAAATAAATAAACATTAAAAAAAATTTTTTTTTAAATAAATAAATAAAACAGGCTTTGTGTTCAACGATTTTGCCCACTGTAGGCTAATGTAAGAGTTCTGAGCACATTTAAGGCAGGCTAAGCTATGCCGTGAGGACCAGTAGGTGAGGTGTATTAAATGCATTTTCAACTTACAATGGGTTTACCAGGCTGTAACCCCACTGTAAAGTCAAGGCAGATCTGTATTATATAATGATATGCAACTTTGCATTTCTTCCCATCTGCATGTTCAGCGATATCCTTTGGGTAGCTTGAAATTAGCCACAGTAGGAGTATTTATACCACAGAAACTGGACTGCTACAAATCAGGGCTCCCCCTCCCCCCAAAAGCCAGTTGCCAAACACTTAGAAGCACACCCTGTCTAGACCCATAAGGACAAGGAGAAGACAGGCACAAAAACGACAACAAACAAAACATGGCAACAATCTTCTGGAAATGAAAAAAGCAGACGAATAAGAGGTAATTAATTTAGCAGAGAAGACAAAGCCAACACCAAGGCCACAGAAAAGGAAGCCTGTAAGAAGCAAACTAGCTACACCACAGAACCTCACAAAGAAACAGAAATTGGTTTCCCTCTGTTGCCGAACATGGGCGCAGGTGTGCGGAAATTTGTGGAAGGAGCACTGAGGCTCCCCACGGTTTTTCCTGCACCTGTGCAGCCGGACCACTGCCCCTGCCCAGCCCTGGGAGAAAAGGTTGAATCAGAGATCATCTGCACCGTGGGCACAACGGAGGGCTGGCATGTGACTGACACACTACCGAAACGAGATTAAATGACAGGCTGCATTTTAGATTGTAAGATTCCACAGTCCCCTTCACCCTCTTGGCTCCCACGACACTGGCAATGAGGCTTATACTCCACAGGCAAAAGAACAGATGATCTGGTTCTGGGGAAGCCAACCAGTCCAAGGGAGAAGACTTACGGAGACCAATCCAGCAGGATTCCCCCAGTGAAGCATCCAGATCACTGCAGAGTCACGGACAGGGAGCCCTCTGGTCCACAAGCTTCGCCCACGCACACGTCCCTTTAGTGCCAGCAGTATATCGCCAGACATTGGAGGGAAGCCTCTCACATGAAGAAAAATTCTTTCCAAGGTCTAGTAATACATTCAGACAAGCTATCGAGCGCCACAGTAGACTAAAGACATTTACAAGGTCTCCAAACATTTACCTGCCACAGGCCTTTCTCAGGAAGATGTGCTCCAACAAAACAAAGAACAGACCAAGAAAGAAGACAGGAGCTCCGGGGAAACAGGAGATCCAATATAGAAAAGAAGAAAAGAGAAATCCCAGGACGATGTGGAAGGGACACTCTGAGATGGCACGTGGGGTAGGCCCAGGAGAACCCGGCGCTGAGTTTGGAGCAGGAAGACAGCTCGGGGGGGGGGGGGGGGGGGTCCCCACGGGGAAGGAATTGCAACTGAGAGATTGCCAACGCGTTCACCACACTGGGGAGAGCCTGGGGATGAATTACTCATAAATACCCCCCAAAACTACACAGTTAAATAGACCAGGCAGTTATTAGCTCCAAAGGGGAAAAGACGTAATACAAGAGCAGAAATGTAATTATAGTACACTGTGAACAATATTAACACAGTTAAAATAACATATATACTGATCGGTGATTTAGCCAGACATTGTGATGTCCCCTAATTCACGAGATTCTACAATGCACATATTTTTCACATTTGAACATCCTGAAAAGCAAACTGAATCTTGTAGCCAACGTGATAAAGTATTGGATCAGGGGCTCCTGGGTGGTTCAGTGGGTGAAGCGTCTGACTCTTGGTTTCGGCTCACTCGCGATCTCATGGTTTGTGAGATGGAGCCCCAGGTAGGGGTCTATGATGACAGCATGGAGCCCCCTTGGGATTCCCTCTCCCCCTTCTCTCTCTGCCCCTCCCCCATGCACAGGCATGCACTCTCTCTCTCTCAAAATAGACAAACAGACATTAATTTGGTTTTGAAGTATTGGATCATAGTGTCATTGAAAGCACTTTTGTTCTTTTGTAGTGACTCATAAATAATGCTCCATCGTATAATGGATGGCATCTAGGATGAGAAGAAATACAGGACCTCTGTTGGGAAGTGATGGAGAAGTTGGGGTACCTGTGTCTGGGGGGAGGACGAATGGGCTAAAACCTCATCTTGCACAGAAATAAGTCAGCGGATGATTTCTTTCTGGTTTTGTGTTTTGTTTTGTTTTGTTTTGTTTAGTTAACCTGTTCATTTTGAGAGCGAGAAAATGCACAAGAGGGGGAGGGGCACAGAGAGAGGCGGACAGAGAGAGAGGGGCAGAGGATCCGCAGCGGGCTCTAGTGCCGACCGCAGCGAGCCCAACGCAGGGCCTGAACTCACGAATGTAAGATCCTGACCTGAGCGACGTCTGACGCTTAACTGGCTGAGCCACCCAGGTGCCCCAGGCGGCGGGTGACCTCTAAAATTAACAAAGATACAGCTTTATAAGCATATTATCCAGCAATGATCGCTGCGCATACCGGGAGTACAACTAAAATCATAGACAGCTGTTGGCTCCGGGAATCAATAAATGGAGAGAAGAATGGGTAAGGGGGGGGGAGACTACGGTGTTGTGATTTCTTTACGCGCCTCGTAAACATACGAATTTTAAAACTCTTTATACGTGGACCGAAAGTGAAAGTACTATGTGTAGAAATCAAAGGAATGAGATGAAGCTCTCCATTTCAAGCCTTCCCCCGGCACAAGTTTTCAGACTGGGAAAATCAAAAGGGATCTTTAAGGTCTCCCTCTCAGGATGAAGGGTCGAAGGGTCTAATCCGGCCCCCCTCTCGTGCGTGGTCCAGGCTGGTCTGGTTTGCCAGGCGCCTGGGGGGATGGGGGGGGGAGGGGGACGCGCACCTGGTTTCACAGGCCCCCCGCTCGCCTCCCGCCTTAGGAAACTCAGCCACCTGATTTTTCACGCTCGGGAGATGAGCTGGCTGGCCTTGGGTGAAAGTGGAAACCGCGGCGCACACGACACATTTTTCACAAGCTCGTGTTACCTCGAGCCCTCGAGAATGAGAAAGGAAGCTGGCGGTTTGGCAGGTGTGGAAGCCCTTTCCCACAGACATCTGTCAGTGGTTCTGGAAGCCCAGGCCCCTCCTCTTTACGCAGGAAGAGCCCCGGATTCCCGGGCTGAGGCATCCGGTCCGCCGGCACGTTGCAGCTGCTTGTCACCCGGGAAGGCGAGGGGGAGAAAGCCGGAGACGGGTTCCTGCTGGTGAAGCAAGACGTGCCTCCGCTTCCGAGGTCAGACGGGAGCTCCTTCGGGCAGAGGGGGCGCCTGGCCGCGCCCGCGGGACGCTCGGGCACCGCCTGCCTCGGCAGGAGGGAGAACGAACGTGCGCGATTCTGCCAGGCTGCAAGAGGCCACCGGTGCCAGCCGTGATTCGGCACAAGCACGTTGGGGCAGCGCCAGGCGGCGGGGGAGGCGCCCGGGACCACCGGCTCTTTCCCCACCCCCACCGGGACGGCGTCCAGCCGCTGTGAACTGCGGCAGCCACACCACGTGTTCACGTGGGAACGATTCCGCACCGGGTGGTAAACAGCCACGGCCACGGCCCCGGCCCCGGCCCCGCCCCCCCCCCCCCCCCCCCCACCCCCACCCCACCCCCGCTGCAGCCGAATTGGAACGTATGGACCAGCAGAGGGCCTCCCGGAGCCGGCGCTGGAAGCCGGCCTCTGATTGGTCAGGCCCGCCGGTTAAATATTTTAAATAGCACTCCCTGCCACCAGATCCCCGGGCAAGCCGGCTTCCTGCAGAAAGCTCTCCACCTTCCCCTCCCTGCCTCCGTTTCTCCCTAGCCCGGAATCTGCCAGCTTAGGACGCCTGGGAGTGTCTTTTGCAGCAAAATGGCTTTTCCTCTGTGCCAGCAGAGAAGCCCCTTAACTCATTCCCCTGGGGACCTTGATGCTCCGGACTGCAAGGAAATTTTCCTATGTGCCGTTTCCTTTTACTTCCCTAACTTGTTTACCCCGATGAAATTAGGTTAACACGGTCGGGGAGAGCAGCCTAAAAGGGGAAAATAAAGTTACCATAGGCAGAAGGGCAGCGTCAGGGCCATGTACTGACGGGGAGAAACAGCCAGGGCCAGGGTGACGCGCACAGCGCTGCTTTGCTGGAGGCCTCTGAATACCCACGTTCTTTAATCCTGGCTGCCCGAGGCCCCCTTTGCCTCTGCCTTCCCACCTCTGTCAGCTGCCATTCTGGTTTCCAGCCCCTGCGGGAGAGGGATCCCCTGGGCCCTGTGTAGGGCCCAGGCTAGGAGACTCCTGGCCCTAAGGATGTTCTGGATCCTCTTACATAGCCAAGGGGAGAGGACTTCCCTTTCCCCAGAGCGGGACGTTTAACTGGTCTCTTACCCGCTGGTGGAGGCAGGTTCAGGTGTTATCAAAGAAGCCGCCCCAGGTCCCCAGGCTCAGTGAGGGCACTAGTCCAAGGGTACCCCACAAATAGTCTTTGGCACTTACGGGTGTGCATTATGAGCTGGAAATAGTTGCATCTCTTCCATCTATCTCTATAGAAAACATTCTCATCTTTCAAAATGACAGGGCTTGGGACAAGTGAGCAAAATGGTCATTTTTGCTTTTGCCTTTCGTTTTGCTTGTTTTTATGTGCCATCAAAGGCAGCCTGCAGAGTGGAAAGGGTCAGCCCGGTAAGGATGACACAGAAGACAGAGTAAGTCCTTAATCCTTCTGGCTGAGGTCACCTCTTCCTGAAATGAGAAAAATAGTTGCTGACCGCCTTCCTCAAAGAATTGTCGTGAGTGGCACCTTCAATCCAGTTGCAAAATGCCTTAAAAAGTGTAAAGGAGCCATGTGAACGTAAGCGATACTGGTTTTCTGTCTTGTTCCAGCAAACTCGTGACTGTGCGTAGGGAACATTCACGCAGTAAAGCCAGGCCACCACACGCTTAGCAAAGCTTGCCTTTTCATACGCAGGCTCAGTCCCTCTTGGTCCATATCCCACTCAAGGTCCTTCTCTCCCCCAGATACCCACTGTGAGATACCCTCACCTGGTAGCCACCAAGCTCCCACTGAGTGCTCAGGACAGGGTCTCCCCGGGCAGGGGTGCGCGTCTGGGAGCCCTCTCTCCCAAGCCCCACCCTCCTGCTGCACCTCAGCGGGCGGTTCTGGGTCTGACGGGAGAAGGGCGCTAAGGTGACAGGGGCAGAACCCATGGAAATAAGAGCTTGTTTCACCTGGAGAAGAGGCAACCAGTTTAAGGGGCCTTGCGAGAGGTCTTGAAAGGCCTGCTGCAGCAGAAAAAAAGACGAAAGTATTTTGTACAGTTTTAGAGGTAGAACCGGGTGGGCCCTGTCCTAGGATTTAAGAGGTCAGATTTTTTTTGTTGTTGTTTAAGCCATCTTAACCATTTTGAAATGTACAATTCAGTACCATTAAGTATATTCACATTGTTGCACAACAGATCTCTAGAACTTTTTCATCTTGCCAAACGGACCCTATCCCCGCTAAACGTGAATTTCCCCTGCCCATCCCCCAGCCCTTGGCAACCATCTTTCTCTTTTCTGTTTTTATCATTTTGACTGCTTTAGACACTTCACCTGAGCAGAGTCACACTGTCCCCATCTTTTTGTGACCGACTTATTTCTCTTAGCATAACGTGCGTAAGGTTCATCCATGCGGTAGCATTGTGTGAGGATTTCCTTCTTTTTTAAGGCTGCGTAATATTTCACTGTGTGTATATACCACATGTCATTTGTTTCATTTGTTCATCGGCGTGTGGGTCATTTCCTGTTGGTCATCTTGAATAATGGTCTAAGGAACATAAACGCACAACTATCTCTTTGAAATCCTGCTTTGAATTCTTTTGGATATATACCCAGAAGTGGGATTGCTAGATCATATGGTAATTTTATTTTTAATTTTTTTAGGAACTTCCATACTGTTTTCCATATGGCTGCACCATTTTACATTCCTACCCACAGTGCACAGGGTTCCAATTTCTCTGCCTCCTTGCCAACAATTGTTATTTTCTTTTCTTTTGATAATGGTCCTCCTAATGGGCCTGCGGTGATATCTCATTGTAATTTTGATTTACATATTTCTGATGACTAAGGATATTGAGCATGTTGTTATATACTTGTTACCATCTGAATATCTTCTTCAGAGAATAGCCTATTCGGGTCCATTGCCCATTTTTTAATCAGGTTATTTGGGGGTTTTGTTGTTAATGTACGGAAGTTCCTTATACATTTTTGTTTTTAATCCCTTATCACATACATGATGTGCCTATTTTCTCCCATTCTGTGGGTTGCTTTTCACTCTTGTTTCCTTTGATGCACAGAGGTTTTTAAGCTTGATATCGTCTCATTTGCCTATTTTTGTTTTTGTTGCCTAAGAAGACATATTTTTTTCTTTTCAAATTTTTATTTAAATTCTAGTTAGTTAACATACGATGCAGTATTGATTTCAGGAGTAGAATCCGGTGATCATCACTTACATACAACACTCCATGCTCATCACAACAAGTGCCCTCCATTTTTTTTCAACGTTTTTTTTATTTTTTTATTTTTTTATTTTTTTTATTTTTGGGACAGAGAGAGACAGAGCATGAACGGGGGAGGGGCAGAGAGAGAGAGGGAGACACAGAATCGGAAACAGGCTCCAGGCTCCGAGCCATCAGCCCAGAGCCCGACGCGGGGCTCGAACTCACGGACCGCGAGATCGTGACCTGGCTGAAGTCGGACGCTTAACCGACTGCGCCACCCAGGCGCCCCACGAGTGCCCTCCTTAATGCCCATCCTCCCCCCCTCCCATCCCCCACGCACCTCCCTCCATCAACCCTCAGTTTGTTCTCTGTAAGAAGGCCTATTTTTAAAGCAGTTTTTGTGTATAAATATTGACTGATTTTGAGAGAGAGAGGGAGCACACGTGCACACGAGTCGGGGAGGAGTCGTGAGAGGTGGGGAGAGAGAGAGAATCCGAAGCAGGCTCCGTGCTGTCAGCACAGAGCCCAATTCAGGGCTCGATCTCGTGAACTGTGAGATGATGACCTGAGCCAAAAACCAAGAGGAGGAGGGTTGACTGACTGAGTCGCCCAGGCACCCCTTAAAGAAGTCTTTTAAGTGATATATTTACAAGGTACAACATTTCAAAAGAGTAAAGGGAGGCAGGTAGAGATGAGAGCCCTGTACATACACATATAAACATACCTAGATAGATTCATATACATATGCACATAAAATTCTCCCATCCATCCAACACCCAGCCTCACAATTTCCTCTCTCAAAGGCAACCACAGTTGCCAGTATCTTTCCAGATAAAACCTAAACATATATTTGTGTCTACCCTCCTTTTTGATTGTATAAATGTGATATGTGTTATTGAGCCCCTTCCTTTTCCTCACGAATCAGCATGGCCGGGGTCAGAAGAACCAATATAAAGCCTTCCCTGTCAGCATTTGAAAACAGTTTAATTTAAAAAATTTTTTTGGTTAATGTTTATTTATTTGTAAGAGAGAGAGAGAGACAGAGTGCAAGTGGGGGAGGGGCAGAGAGAGAGGGAGACACAGAATCCGAAGCAGGCTCCGGGCTCCGAGCTGTCGGCACAGAGCCCGACGCGGGGCCTGAACCCACAAACGGTGAGATCAGGACCTGAGCCGAAGTCGGACGCCTAACCAACTGAGCCACCCAGGCGCCCCGAAAATAGTTTCATTTTTTTTTAAATTTTTTTTTTTTTAACGTTTATTTATTTTTGAGACAGAGAGAGACAGAGCATGAACGGGGGAGGGTCAGAGAGAGAGGGAGACACAGAATCCGAAACAGGCTCCAGGCTCTGAGCTGTCAGCACAGAGCCTGACGTGGGGCTCGAACTCACGGACCGCGAGATCGTGACCTGAGCCAAAGTCGGCCGCTCAACCGACTGAGCCACCCAGGCGCCCCAAAAGTTTCATTTTTTAACAGCTGCCTGATTTTCCACAAAACAGATCCTGCTCCATAATTTGTTTAATCAGTCCCCCAGTCAAACATTTAAATAATTTCCAGCCCTTCGCTCTAATGAATATCTTTGCACACATGTCTTTGAACCCATGGGGACTGTATCTACAGGATACGGGATACAGGTTAAAAGTGGAATTGCGGGTCAGAGGCTTTGTGCATTTTAAATTTGGTTGATATAGTCACAGAGAGGGTAGATCTGACCCCAAAATAATAAAGGATTTTACCAACCAACACTGCCCGAAGTGCTGTGCATTACTCTATGAGGTTGTGAGTGTCTGAAAAAAAACAAGAACAGGCTATGAACCAACTTGTCTAGAATGCCATTGGATGTACTCAAGCGTTGTAAGCTCATTGACCGCAAAATTCCTTCCAACACTGATATGGTGGCTTCCTAGTAATAGGAATAGCCCAAGAGACTTGATATAGTTTTGTTGAAGATTGTTCAGTGGTAAAGCAAGATGTTGGCTCGATTTGCACTGGGAGGTCCATGAAGGATGCACGTTCATGTTAACTATGGCAAGAAAGGTCCTTGAATGAAGCAAGGCTCTAAATTAAGGCCTCCCTGTGGTATGTCTGTCCCATGTGGCCCCGGGCAAGTGGTTAGAAAGGATATTTGGAGGAGCTCCTGTCCTTTCCATCCATCATTACTCACGCCACACATCCAGAACTCCACATGTGGAAAAGTGCTCTGTAGCAGACGTGGCCAAACAGGAAGTGCTGTGTCATCGACAGCCATTAGGTCGGGGTCCTCAAAAGCAGGAACATAACACACTGGTGTGTTGGAGTGCAACGTGAAGGCTGTATTTATTGCTCTTGCTAAAGAACCAAGGTTTCTCAGGGATGGAAAGTTCCCTACCTTACGTCAGCTCATTTCGGTTCCGGGAGTTGGGTTTTTTTTTTTGAAAGATCTTTCCTGAATACCCAGAACTGAAATCTATTCCCATTATTGGTTTTAGTTTCTCCTCTCGGAGCCACCAAATACAAAATTTTTCTTCTTCTGCCTTCCAGGCCCTCAGATATCCGAGATCAGCCAGTAGAGGCGCACTCTGTCGTCTCTTCTTTGGGTTCCTTCTCCTCGTCTTCCACCCATTTCTTATGTGTCATGTTTTCCTGTCTTAATTGCTCTTTTTGAACACCTCCCAAGTAGTCAAAGGCCCCTGACGGTGTGCTTCCCAGAACTGGGCCTGATCCTGGCCAGGGAAGAGCAAGATGGAATCATTTCCTTGTTTTTCTACACTCTTTTAACAGTGGAGCCTAAAATCAGCATGCCAGGGATCTCTTGCTTTGGCCAGCCATGCCTTTCCACCTTTTGGGGTAAAAGTACCCTGGTTTCCCAGTAGGGAATTAACTCTTCCCCCATTCTGAGAAGTCCTGAGGGCCTGTCAGTCAAAGATTTTCCATGACCTCTCCTACTGGAAGGATATTGGTGCATAAAACCCAATCTAGGCCATTCAAGCTGGCTCCTAGGGTTTGGAACCTTTGAGAAAATAACAGAAAACACTGGAGCTTAGAAGTTCTCATGGAGGAACATAGAGTCTGTCCATTTATTCCTGCTAACAGCCTTCCTTCTTCCCGGGGCCGGGCTCTTCAGTATCCAACAGCCAACAGCTTCCATCCCTTTCTAGCAAAGTCCTTTTCCAATTAAGTGCATCAGAATCTCTTTCAAGTGCTTGCCACCAAAAAACTCTGACACCATCAGGTTACCTTGTTTGGCCACAGTCCCAGCAGGGGGCTCGTTGTGGGCCAGACTCCTAAATCCGTTTCATAGCCTGTTTCTGTTCACAACACTCTGGCACCAAATGAGTGTGGGTTTTTTCCCCCACCGAACAGTTCCCCAGCTCCCTGGACACCAACTAGGTGTTCTACAATTTAATTCTGACCCTCTGTCTCCAGAGTTAGTACAGACCCCACAACTGAAGGGTTCAGTCCCATAAGCTGCCCCGGTGGAGTTCAGAGAGCTTCCCCACCCTCTCTGGGTGCACCCCCTGCCCTCACCTTGCTGTGTTCACCAGCCTGGAAGCTCTCTGAACTCCACTGTTTATGGAGGTTCATGGAGGCCGCGTTACAGAAGTGCGGTTGATTAAATCACTGGCCGTTGGTGATTACTTCCGTCTCCAGCCCCCTCGCTCCAATCATCTCATCACAGAGTTGGTTCCTCTGACACCCAGCTCCCATCCTGGAGGGATGACGTCACTTCCTGAGCATAAACTCAGGTGTGGTTGAGAGGGGCTTCTTGTGACTAACAAAACAAGCTCAGCTCACTCCTATCATTTGGGAAATTTAGGCAAAGGGGTTTAGACGATCTTGTGCCAAGAACCAGGCAAGAAGACGAAATGCATATTTCTCGTCAGATCACACTATGACATTAGTGCTGCCAGTTCTGTCCTTGGAAAGTTGCTTTGGGACCAAAACACAGCCTTTGAGGAGCCTATGATCTCTCTTCTTTGTCCCTTTCTATCGGAAGATAACTGACCGCACGTCGATTTGGTTATCCTGCCGTGAAGGTCCATCGCAGTCTTTGGCAAAAATGTTGAGCCAGCTAATTACAGCCCCTGTGTTTTGGCTCCTTACTCTGTGCCACCTCTCCAGGCAAGAAACTTGGCATTCACGGAGGTTTCCCGGATGGCCAGTAAGTCATGGACCTGAGCTTCAAACCCAAATCTGTCACACCCAAATCTCCCTCTGCAGCCGGGGAGAAATAAGAGATTCCATCATGATTCACAGCCCACTGGTGATCTGGGGGGGGGGGGGGGGGGGGTAAGGCGTGTGTCCAACTGTTCCTGAAGACCTCGGAGAAGCGGGGTTAAGAAGCACTTGGAGGCAGCACCGGGCTGCAGGAGGTCCCGGACTCCACGTGCTACCGAACAGAGTGACACAGCTAGAGACCGTATCACCGAGGGTCCAGGTGGAGGTCTGAGGTGGCCGATTACCAGTGAGACAAAGATCCGGGTGGGGAAGGGTGCTCCCAGCCAGGCTTGCTTCAGCTGGGATCAACACAGTGATGTCCCCCACATGCAAGTGCCTGTGCCAGACGTCACCCTCCTTCTGATTCAGAGGTTGCAGGAAGGACACCCCCGCTTTCTCACTGTGCCTCCTCACCCCAGCTCCCCACCTCGCTCCAACAGAGACCGCGCTTCGGGAAGGAATTAACAGCATAAGGAATCCGACATGCCCAGAAAAAAGACAAACACTGTGGGAAAATGGAAGTTATATTAAAATAAATTGAGACATGGCTCTTAACTGGAGCTTTTGCTCTCACCCAGATTTGGTGGTTTTAAGATCCTAATTTTATAACCTCGGTCATGGGGAGAGCCTCGACTGATTCCTATCACTTTAAACAGCCTTTTATAGCCTCGGCGTCTAGGGTACATTTCCTCTGCTTTTTCAACATATCACATTTCTTGGCAAAACCATCTAGCAGAAAGCACCAAAATTTTTATAATGAGGATAAAATCAAAATTTCACACATCAGATTTGTCTTGTAGATTATTTCTTCCTGCTACATCGTTCCCTGTTTTAGCTTTATTTTAGTGGCCAACAATTTTAAATTTGAATTCAGCGTTGTTCAATCATCTTATAGGTTTTTGCTGCCAAAGGACAGTTGCTCTTTGCTCTGACTTCAAAGTTGCTAAATTCAAAGACTTTGCCAGTGTAATCACTCAGGAGCTCGGCTGCATTCGGCCAGTTGTTACCACCCACTCGAGCTCCGGTGGGGGGGGTGAACTCCGCCACGGCCTCCCCGCTCTTCCGGTCTTAGTTTAACTTGGCTTCTCGCTAAGATTTTTTTTTTTTTTTTCTATTTTAAAATGTGTGCTGTGCTCTTGATTCCAATGTAAAGGTTGTTCGCGATTGCCTCTAGGCGTAAAGATCAAGTTCAAACCCAAAAGACCGCAAGACGCACTGCAGGACCCACAGAAGGACTCTCGCTTAACTACCGAGCGGGGCCAGGAGGCCAAAGTGGCCCTGGCCACTTCAGCTGAGTCACCGTGGTCCCCCAACCTTCTGCTTTTTCCTCTGAAAATGCTTTCCCGTCTCTGCTCGGTGACTAACTCCATCACGAATGTGACCCAGTTTGTTTGGCAAGATGTGATTTTTTTTTTTTTTTTTTTTTTTTTTTTTTACTCACGTTGCTTTTCCTGGTCACGACTCTCTCACAGGCATTAAGCGGCTCCCTCTCGGCACCCGGCTGGCCCTGCTGCCCGGCTGGATTGATGGCTTGCTCCTCAGCTGTTCCCTTTCCGGCCCGCCCTCCCCTCCCCAGCAAATCCATATTCCATTTGCTTTTCTGCAGCATTTTGATACCTCCAGAGTCTCCTTAAAATAGACAGATAAACACTAATCTCCAAGGGAAATTTGCAGGGCAGAGCCCACAGATTTGTACCAACTCAATCTGCTCTAGAAGGCAGCTAGACGAAAAGCAGAACAATGGTAGCCACCGTGCACAGGGCTTTCTATCGTGTACAAAGCACGTTGGACTCACGTGGTCCCATTTAATAATATGTGTGATCACCCACGGCACGGGTAGAAGTCGTCCTTCCATTTTTCAGACCGGAAACGAAGGCTCATAGAGACGAAGGAGTTGTCTGGACAGTAGGAGAGACAGTTGCTATACAATTTGCATTCGATAAAATGCACGGATCATCGGCGTCTTTGCTGGATTTGGGCCGATGGATATGCTTATGTAACTACCTCCCGCAAAGGGTATAGAACATTTCTAACCCCTAGAAAATCCCCTCCGGCCCTTTCCCAGAACCACTCAACCCTCAACCCTCGACCACTATCTGGTTTCTACCCCAGCGATTAGTCTGCGTCGAACCTCAGTCTTCTGACTCCGAACTCCACGTCCCCTGTTGTCCCGTTACACCATGTTGTATCTTTGAAATTAATCGAATGGCCGCCACAGGCGGTACCTCGCCGGACTCTACAGACACAGGACTTGGGGAAGGTGGGCCGTAGTCTCTCGGCTGAAAAAGCTGGTCGACTGGTAGGGTGGATCTTGAGGCTTGCAGCTTCTGGAGTACGGAGATCGATCCCCAAACAACATACAGGCCCCGCCCTCGGGCCTCAACGGCACTCCTGGTACCCAGGATTACTGAAGGAAGGTTGTTATAAGGTTTAAAAGAGAGGGATAGAAATCCAGCTTTGAGATAAACACACCAGAGTCCAGCCCGCACCTCTGCGACCTCCCCCTAACCCTGAACTCCACTGCTCTATCTGCGGCCACCAGCTGCCGGCAACACCCTGACTTCTCATACCGGACTCTTCCATACCCATCACACACGTGTAATCTGTAAACTGGAAGTTTTGGAACTGGGGGCCTCCACTGTAGGGGGCAAAAAAAAAAAAAAAAAAAAAAAAAAAAAACGAAAAGAAATACTGAAAGGCGGGGCGCCTGCGTGGCTCAGTCGGTTAAGCGTCCGACTTCGGCTCAGGTCGCGATCTCACTCACAGGTCGTGGGTTCAAGCCCCGCGTTCAAGCCTCGGAGGCTGGAGCCTGCTTGGGATTCTGTGTCTCCCCCTCTCTCTGCCCCTCCCCTGCTTGCACCCTGTCTCTGTCTCTCTCTCTCTCAAAAATAATAAAAAATAACAATAAAAGGCAATTCTATTGCTTCCAAGAATGTACGGCAAACGGCATGAATTGCTGAGTAATGTTAAGGCAGCATTCCCATCAGGCGGTCATTCATGAAGGGATCCGTAATACAATTAACCTTATCTGCTTACTTGCCCACAGTTTTGGGCTAAACTCTTTGTTCACTCTAGCGGGTCAACTGGTTCCTCTTGGATCTTGTTTGTACACGGCGGCGTGCTGGTAAATGTTTAACAGCTGATTCTCCGGGGGGGGGGGGGGGGAAGGCCACGATTTGATCTGGACAGTGAGTGTGCGTGGCCTTGGCCCCCCGTGCCTGCTCTCTTAAGCGCTCCCAGAGTGGTGTTCTGTCTTCAAAAAATGGATCGTACAGTCGAGAGTTGGCAAGGCGTTCCTTTCTCTGCTGGAGTGGAATCCCCAAATAAACCTGTAAAGTCACTCTGAAGTGCAGAATACACAGAAACTAGCCCGCGATGAATTCTTCCATGTCCCCGCTCCAGGGAATCTGAACGGCCGGCCTCCACCTTCCTTTCCTTGCTTCGGTGAACGGCACGCCTTTAAAAGGTTTTAGAATAGGGGCGCCTGGGTGGCGCGGTCGGTTAAGCGTCCGACTTCAGCCAGGTCACGATCTCGTGCTCCGTGAGTTCGAGCCCCGCGTCAGGCTCTGGGCTGATGGCTCAGAGCCTGGAGCCTGCTTCCGATTCTGTGTCTCCCTCTCTCTCTGCCCCTCCCCCATTCATGCTCTGTCTCTCTCTGTCCCAAAAATAAATAAACGTTGGAAAAAAAAATTTAAAAATAAATAAATAAATAAATAAAAGGTTTTAGAATATCTCTAAACATCCAGCTTTCTTTTTTGCTTTGTTTCGTTTCTCTCTTTAGAAGACGAACTGCAGAAAAGCCCAAGCATGCAATCATTTCCTGCTCCCGGATGAGCATCTACCGCCACGCGCGGAGGAAAAGGATGTCAGAAGAGGCTGCGGCCTAAGCGGGCGCCAGGAGCTCCTTCTAGGGGTAATACATGCTGGGAGGTCCAACCACCCGGCCATCCTACTCCTCACCTATACAGCCACAACGGGAGGCGAACAGATTTACGGGAATTTGCTGCGTTATAAAAGGAGTGTGGCGCAAGGATTGCTTTTCTTTTTTTTTTTTTTTTTAATTTTTTTTTTCAACGTTTCTATTTATTTTTGGGACAGAGAGAGACAGAGCATGAACAGGGGAGGGGCAGAGAGAGAGGGAGACACGGAATCGGAAACAGACTCCAGGCTCCGAGCCGTCAGCCCAGAGCCCGACGCGGGGCTCGAACTCAACGGACCGCGAGATCGTGACCTGGCTGAAGTCGGACGCTTAACCGACGGCGCCACCCAGGCGCCCCGGATTGCTTTTCTTTTTCACGTTGGGTCCGCCTTGCAGCTGGGCTCCTTGCTCTGCTGGCATTTACTGTTCCACGCTGTTCTCTTTAACCACGTTAATTAGCGCTCACACATCGTGCGTGCTTTGCTCCTCCGTCCCCCAGAACTTGACCTCATTCTGCGCGACCTTTCCCAATTTCTTCTCCATTTCCTGTCCCAACTTGCCCTTGCTCTCTGCTTTCTGCTCTGGGTTTTGTTTTCTGCTGTGCACATTTCTTTGGCAGGAAGGATTGGCGTTACGTTTTCTAAGCCTTCTGATGACTTTAGACATTTCAAATAATTATCCGAGCTTCCTGTCTGTCTTGGTCAGCCCAGTCTCTTTCATGTCCCACGTTCATTAGATTCCTCTTGCTGGCACTTTGCTGACTGGTATGCAGAGATTCAAAGACATCCAAGAAGGGGTCCCAGCCCTCGGTGACTCTGTAATCTAGGAGAGGGGATAATAATAATATCTAAGCTGCATTGACGGCTTTCTGTCAGGCAGTTTCCTTCCATTACCTTAGGCCTCATAATAATCCTTGAAATAGACACTAATGTGACACTCATTTTACATATGTGATAACTGAGGCTCAGAGAGGTTAAGTAACTTGCCAAGGCCACAACAGCTGGTAAAATGGTGAAGGTAATTGTGATTTAAGGTCCTAGCCTAAATGATTCCCAAACCTGAGCCCCTTACCAGATAGTGACAAGTAAGTACCCATATAAAAATAAGGTGGGCGCCTGGGTGGCTCAGTCGGTCAAGCCCCAACTCGGCTCAGGTCATGATCTCACGGTTCATAGGTTCGAGCCCCGCGTCGGGCTCTATGCTGACAGCTCGGAGCCTGGAGCCTGCTTCGGATTCTGTGTCTCCCTCTCTCTCTCTCTCGGCCCCTCCACCACCCCCCCCGCCTCAAAAATAAAATAAAACATTTTGAAAAAACAATTTAAAAAAATACATAAGGGAGAAAGGGCTGATGGCAAAAATGAAGCAGAATTTATGGGTTGGGTGATTTTAGAAGTTGGAGATGGGGACCAAAGCTGCTTCAGGAAAGCCTTTTCTTTGTGAAGTAGTGAGCTCCCCGGCCCTGAAGGTACCCAAGCAGAAATCAGAACTACCTTCAGTGCTGTGGGCTAGTGCCTGCATCTGGGTGAGGCCTCTCTCTGGGAGACCTTCATCTCTTGGTATGATGATTTCAGCGAATGGCCTGTGAGCTGAGCCTACAAAGCAAGGATCGAGGGGAGAAGGGCAGAAAGAACCCAGGGGCCGAGTCCCTGGAGCTAGAACACACACAGGGGCTGCTTTTCATTTTGAGTCTGGTTCTCCCATGCCGTAAAGCTCACCCGTCACTTGGGCAAGAATATATGTATCGACACAGTTGCTGTTCGACAGCGAAGAGAGAAGTGTCATCATTTAAGTCAGTGGTTCCCGAGGACTTACTCCATAAGCTGGGCTCCGGGGTTCTACAAGTAAAACCTGTCGATGGCAGTTAGTATCAGTTTTCAGGGGTGATGGAGTTGTACTACTGTCCCAAGGCCCCACAGCCTTAGCGTACTCGACTGAAATTTGTCTCCTACATTTTTTCTGAAGACTTTGGCAACTGCTAACATTCGTCTGCCAGGGAAGACTTCTATGATAAAACAAATAAATGAGCACAGCTAACAAAAATTAGCTGAAAAACGCAGAAATCACCAATTAGGCTTGGTGTGACAGCTTGATTTTTTTTTTTTTTTTTCATGGACAGTTGGTGGTAATTTTAGATTGCATACATATATTATAGAGTCAAACTTTCTGCCCATAAAATTGTCTTAAGTTATTTAATAGAAATAAATAGGTCACTATTTCATGGTATTCTGCAAAGAGCATCGTGGATTCCGGTGCTCCCCTGGCCTTCCTGACAATCCCGGGTGACTGGGTGACGATTCTACGATGACTGTGACGGGAGTAAAAGCGTAGAAATTCTAAGTGGTGGGATTGTACCGCTGTTAGGCTGGAGGACATTTTGAAGTGCTGGGAGGAATACAGTTCAACTTAAGGGCTAGGAAGTATAAGAAGGGTCCCAAGACTTCTCCCCAGTTAGCCCCAGGTCGCCCATAGCAGGGGATCTCCACCCACCTGGGGGAAATCACCCCCAGGAGCTTTTTCTAACCGGCCCCACACCACCCCCTCCCCAGAGGACAGCTCCCAGGCCTGTCACAAGCCGTGAGAATCTGCAGGGAAGAGGGGGGCTTGCACAAGTTGAAGAGGCCTGGGAGGTGATTTCCTCCCCTTCACCTGCCGAAGAACCTCTGCCGAGGCCCCACCGACCAGACCGTTTCACGGTGTTTCACCCATAGTTTCAATGTTCCCATTTAGAAAAAAAAAATTGTTTTAACGTTTATTTATTTTTGAGACAGAGCATGAACGGGGGAGGGGCAGAGAGAGAGGGAGACACAGAATCGGAAGCAGGCTCCAGGCTCTGAGCCGTCAGCCCAGAGCCCGACGCGGGGCTCGAACTCACAGACCGCGAGATGGTGACCTGAGTTGAAGTTGGCAGCTTAACCGACTGAGCCACCCAGGCACCCCACAATGTTCCCATTTTAAAGAGCCCACTTAGCCAGCAGGGGACTGTGACTCACATCCCCTCCCGAAGCCTACCCTTCTCCCGGGTCTTGAACCAGAACCAGCCCTGGGACACAACGTCCCAAGCCCTGAAACAGGCCTACCATCCCCAGTTCTCCCGTAATGCCAGCCGAGGCTGCAGCATCTCTGCCCACCGGAGTTTGCTCTATTCCGGAGCCCTTGAACCTCAGAGCAACGGATGCCCTGAGCCAGCGCCCCTGCAGGGCTCCGGCCGCCAGCAGCGCCACTGTCCTTACTCAGAGTACTGGTCAGCTCCCAGCTGAGCCCACCTCTCCTCCAAGATTTCAACAATCCACCAGATGCTCGGGGCGCCTGGGTGGCTCCGTCGCTTAAGTGCCGACTTCAGCTCAGGTCACGATCCCACGGTTAGTGGGTTCAAGCCCCGCGTCGGGCTCTGTGCTGACGGCTCTGAGCCTGGAGCCTGCTTTGGAGTCTGTGTCTCCCTCTCTTTCTCTGCTCCTTCTCTTTCTCTGCTCTGTCTCTCTTTGTCTCTCAAAAATAAATAAACATTAAAAAACAATTAAAAAAAAAAAAAAAAGAGACGCTTAACCTTAACCGACTAAGCCACCCAGGCACCCCTGGACCCTCTATGTAAATATCCATCAGGCACCTCCGACTCAATGTGTCCAAGACTGACCTCATCCCCTCCTGCTGTAGCCCAGCTCTTCTCCTGTCGTTTCAAACTTAGTGGTTGTACCACCACCTTCCCAGCCACCCAAGCTAGACCTGGGAGTCGACACTGAATTCTTTCTCCTCCAACCCTCCACCCGTAACCGATCAAGCATCAAGTCCTGCTCAGTTTATTTACCTGGCCTTCCTACGATCACAGTCGTGGCTCCAGCCCTTATCATCTCGTCTGTAGGCGCTGCAACGGACCTCTCTGGCTCAGCCTGGTCTCTCATGAATTCCACCCTCCTTACTGCTGTCAGAGGGATCCATTTACAGAGCAACTCCTGTATCTGGTGACACCATCGTTGCTGGAGAGTCAACGAAGCCAGAGATCCTTCCTTTGGCACACGTGGCCCTATCTCCCCATCTTTTTCCCCAGCCTTGCCTTACCTAAGACCTGAAGCCCCGTCAAGACAAAACCGCTCAACTCTCGCCTCCCTGTCACCTACACCTGGGATTATGCTTCCACTGCCTTCCGCCTTGGAGGCGGACATTTGGCAGGTATTACCAGCCACCTCTGACCCCACCGCTTCCTTCCCAGGGTTAGATGTCTTTCTCGAAGGTTCCATGATCCCCCCATGCTTACCTCTGGATGACCCCTATTGATTTATACTTTCTGTTTACGGGTCTGTCTCTTCCCATGAACATTTGCCGCTTGAGGGCAAAGGCTGTGTTTTCTACTGTCTCTGAATGGCCAGACCCGACAATAGCGATTGGCCAGTCATGGAGCAGGATTACACAACGGGTAAAACTCTAAAGCAAGCTTCAGCACAGGACGGTTGGCATCGCTAGCCTTCTGGGAGGAAATGCCAGAGTCCCGGCTACCCCAAACCTGTGCATGCCGTCTCATCCTATAGGCATCTCTACTAGAAGGTTCTCCATCACCTCCCTAGACACATGCACACAGGTCAAGTGTCTCCTCCCCGACACAGCTCTGCTCCCACGTAACCCCCATCAAGATCACCCCGTGGCCTCCAGTGTCCCACCACTGGCGTGGTCCTATTGGACAGCAACACGGTGGCATCTCACCAACCCCCCCGCTGACGCTGGCTTGACACCTGGCCACACCTCTGGTTTCTCCACCTTCCTGAGGCCACAGAGAAGGGACTTACCCTTTGAGAAATAAACAGTACTACTAGACCTTTTTTTTTTTTTTTAAGTTTATTTATTTATTTTGAGAGAGACAGAGCAGAGAGGGGCAGAGAAAGAGGGAAAGAGAGAATCCCAAGCAGGCTCCACGCTGCCAGCATAGAGCCCGATGCGGGGCTCAAACCCACGAAACCGCGAGATCATGACCTAAGCCGAAACCAGGAGTCAGAGGCTTAACAGACTGAGCCACCCAGGCGCCCCCCTTCCCCGGCACCCACCTTCTCAACCACGAAGGCTGTGTGTGCACTGCCTGAATCCCCTCAGCTGCGGAGCCAGCTCTCCATTCCCAAGGGTTACACTGAACAAGATATTCTGCATCCTTGTGTAGATAATGCTTATCTTTTTTTTTCTTTTCAATGTTTATTTATTTTGGGGACAGAGAGAGACAGAGTATGAACGGGGGAGGGGCAGAGAGAGAGGGAGACACAGAATCGGAAACAGGCTCCAGGCTCTGAGCAGTCCACACAGAGCCCGACGCGGGGCTCGAACTCACGGACCGCGAGATCGTGACCTGGCTGAAGTCGGACGCTCAACCGACTGCGCCACCCAGGCGCCCCTGCTTACCTTTTTAGTAGGAAACATGCCCTAAGCTGATTCAAAAAAAGTAGGAAATGTCTCATACCAAAATGCAGTCCTTTTTATGAAAACAAAACAAAACAAAACAAAACAAAAGCCAACAAACATCCTTGCCAACTAACACCTGAGCAAGCCAGTCCCTGAACAGGAAACTGATACGGTGGATGAACAACAGCTCCGGTTCCAAGTTTTGACTGGGTGTTTTCAACGGGCACCTCCACTCCGCCCTGGGAGTATCGGAGAGCCGTGCGCTCAAGGACGGTGGCTGCAGATGGGGCACGGGTATCTTCAGCTGCCAAAGGTCGCCTGGCAGGAAGCACGTTGGTGCCCTGGCGGTTTCTGGGGCCACGTGATCTAACTGCCAGGTTAGACTTCTGCAATTATAGCCCCCAGGGACCCGCCTGAAACAGACACTGGTTGCTGTAACTGAGAAAGGCTGAAGCTATAGCTCTTCGGCTAGGAGGGAAAACTTGGGAAGGAAAAGTTTACTTTAGCTCAGGTTTTGTGGTGACAAACAGCACGATAAGCAAGACTATTGCAGCCGGATGATTAACGAGGCACAGGAACCTTTGCATTGGGCTTTGAAAGATTATAAACACACAGGGCACGACAAGCGCAGCCAGTCAGCTACAAATTATGACTCGTCTTTCAGTTGCTGTCCCTTTGCACCTCCTGTTTTGGACAAGGCGAGCAAACAGCTCTCGATCCGCCAGCCGTGGGGCTCCAAGCAGACGCCACAGGGCCCTGAGACACACGTTTGACCCCGCTGCTCTGCGTGGTTGCAGGTTAACGAGACGCGCGGTCAGGATTCGAACGTTCCTTCCCCTCTTTGGTGTGGATCGAAGGCTCCGTTCTGACTGTGCTATTCGGGGATAGTTCCTTCATTAACACCTCTTAGATCCCATTTCGGCACGTCCCTCCAGTCACAGAGATACATAGCTATGCAGGCCATTACTTCTAAAATGCAGTGGATGGATTTGTGCTTGGGGAGGCTTAATGATACACTCAAGACTCCCCGCATTAGAAGTTGTTTGCTTCCTGAAAGAGAACATTATACCAGAAAGATATGTTTGAAGAAAATAACTCCATGGCAGCAATCCAGTGTGCCGCTGCGTTTGTAGGATAATCATGACACCTGCTAACGAAGGCTTCTTTGCGATTTCGGTCTTTGGTGTGAAATACACACACACACACACACACACACACACACACACACACACACACACAGAGCAACGGTAAGCATATATACTCCGCAGCTTAAAATCTCAATACTCAATAAACCAAAAGATGCTTGAGCCATCTAAGACTCGGCTAGAGTTCACTTCTTCCAACATGAATTCTTTTACCTTTTAAAATTCACCAGGGGCGCCTGGGTGGCTCAGTCGGCTAAGAGTCCGACTCTTAGTTTCGGCTCAGGTCACGATCTCACCGTGTGTGAGTTCGAGCCCCGCATCGGGCTCCATGCTGACAGCACAGAGCCTGCTTGAGATTCTCTCTCTCCCTCTCTCTCTCTGCCCCTCCCCCACTCACTCTCCCTGTCTCCCTCCCAAAAATAAATAAAGAAAACTTTAAAAAATTGGGGCACCTGGGTGGCGCAGTCGGTTAAGCGTCCGACTTCAGCCAGGTCACGATCTCGCGGTCCGTGAGTTCGGGCCCCGCGTCAGGCTCTGGGCTGATGGCTCAGAGCCTGGAGCCTGTTTCCGATTCTGTGTCTCCCTCTCTCTCTGCCCCTCCCCCGTTCATGCTCTGTCTCTCTCTGTCCCAAAAATAAATAAATGTTGAAAAAAAAATTAAAAAAAAAAAATAATAATAATAAAATAAAATTCACCAAAGTAGATTTTTAGTTTACCTGGGGTCTTTGTAACTAAACTTTACATTCATCTTCATTAGGGAAAAAAAAATTTTTTTCTCTCAAACTGAGAAAACACCTTCCTTTCAAGTTCACCCAACTCTCAGAAAAATATAATTTGGTTGTTTTTGTTCTCATTTCTCTTCCTTGAATGCACTGGCCAGAAACATTCCTGTTCTTGAAGCCAGTCAGTTGGGCAAAATCTGGTCAGGCCAACTTTATGGCACATTTCTTTCTCCTGGTTGCATTTCTCCCATAAAAATACAGTATTAAATATTTCATAACCTGGCGGGGGCGGGGGGGGGGGGGAGGTTGGTGCCTGGAAAAGCGGCTAAGCCAGAAGCTGTTTTGAGCACTTGCCCAGCAACTGGGCAACCTCCCCATCCGTGCCCAGACTGCCACTCCTACTCCGCTCTCTGTCCTAGCTGTGTAAGTTAACAGCCCATAAATTACCCTGAATTGCTTCCTATTTGGGGGCGGGGGGGGGGAGCAGAAGGCAAAGACTCATGCCCTTATTCTGTTCTTATCTGTTCTAGTCCCTACTAGTTACCAGATAGAATTGTATCAGAGAAAATGGGACAAGTAAATAAACTCTGGTCACAAAAGTCACCCATAGGAAATCAGAATTACTAAGAACATGCCATGATTTTTGCCGTTGCATTCAAAGAAAATGTGGCCCAGGGCGCCCGGGGTGGCTCAGTCAGTTAAGCGATTAAGCATCTGACTTCGGCTTGGGTCGTGATCTGAGTTCGTGAGTTCGAGCCTCCAATCGGGCTCCGCGCTGATGGTGCAAAGCCTGCTTGGGATTCTCTCTCTCCCTCTCTCACTGCCCCTCCCGCGCTCCCCTCTCTCTCAAAATAAATAAATGAATTTGAAGAGAAAGAAAAGAGAAGGAAAAAAAAGAAAACAAAAGAGGAGAAAATGTGGCCCAAAGCACGACCATCCACCCGGTTGCAGAAGCCAGGGACCCTGAAGTCATCGTGTCCTTGCCTCTTGGCTTTATCCTTGCATCCAGTCAGCCCCCTCATCTTGCTGAGCGGCCCTCTCGCCAGCCCTGGGAGCGGCCCGTGGGCTCCAGTCCCTTGCCACTGCTCGCCTGGACGGTGGCATTTGTGCCCCTGTCCCTCCAGCCCCAGCTGCAGCAGTGAGGGCTCCAAATGCACACCCAGCCAGCTCTCTCTCTCTCTCCTAGCGCGGTGCCACCGCCTACAAGAGTCCCACCTCCTTGGTCGGGCTTGCAGGTGCCTGCAGATGGCGCTTGCTGCCCCTCCCCCAGGGCCCTTAGCACCGCGGGCGCATCCCTGCGACCGAACCCATCTCACTGCCTGTGATCAGAGGCGCGCGATGGCCTCGCCCCCTTGACCGTGAGGTCCGTGAGGTCAGCCGCTGTCTCTCTCAGATCTGCTCAGATCTCTCTCCAGCACCGAACAGGGGAAGAGCTCGCTTTACTCAGTGAGTGTGCAACATAAAAAATAATGTTTATACCTTGCCTTATTCTAGACAGGATGTGAAAGGGCAAATGAATAGAATTTCTAAATACAGTCTCTGTCCCACTAAGACCATACATTTACGGAGACGGTACACGTGTTTAGAAGTACAGGCAAATGAGCCATGGGCCTGTCACCCTCCTCCGTGCTCCCCACTATAAATGTTACTAACGGCTGCCGTTCGACACTACGTACCAAGCACTTAATACTAAATCCTCACAAGCCTCCGGTGCAGAGTTTTCTCTTTTCACAGGTGAAGGCACTGAGGCAAGAAAAGGTTAAGAAATGCGTCCAGGGTCACACAAGGAGTCAATAGGGACAAGGAGTCAATTTTGGAGACCTTCTGTCTCCAAATCCCATGCTCCTTCCGCTGTGTCATGATGCCTCTCTGTTTAAGGCTTGGCTTCCGACGCCATGAGCATTGCCAAAATTTTAAAACAGTTGGCTTATGTCATGGTCGGCAAAGGCTGTGGGTGGCACTGAAGCGTGGCTTTAAAGGAAGAGGCTGTACCTTAAGATGGGAGAAAGTATCGCCTGAACTCTGATCACACCCGTCCTGTGTCCCCAACCCGCACCTCTGGGCTCGGAGGCGGGAGAACCGAGCCAGCCTGAGAAGCCATCTAAATGACACCTTGACCTGAGCTAATGGCAGGGAACAGGCACCTTGGCTGTTTGCATCTACGGCCCACAGGGTCCACTGGAAACCACTGGAAGGTCTGCAAGCTCCGGGGAGAGAGGATTGGCTCCAAAACGCTTTGCAACTCATCAGGGGAAGGATATCAGATCTTCCTTCCAGGAATGGAGTCGGTCTCAAACGGGTTCGAGGTACCACACCGGGGTTCCAGTCTCTGCCGATGAGCGCTGGGAGGGAAGGAGCTGGAGAGAGAGCCAGGGGTCTTGGTGAGTCAGTGGGTCTTGGAACACCTTCACACGGACCAGGAGGGAAGGAAGACGTTCCTCTGGTCGCTCCTCTGATCTGACCTCTTGTGCTGGAAGACTGCAAAGAAAGCGCGAACTCCTTGACCTTTACAAGGGGGACACACGCGATCTGTTCTACGAGGCGGGGGTATAGGTCCTAGCTGGAAGAGAAACGGGAAAAGGGGCAAAACAGGCAGTTTTTTCCCAGGCTCCCTTGTCTCACACGGAGGTGGAGATGCTCTGGGCCGTCCCCAGCGAGGGTGACCAAGGCGCTAACGTGGGTCAGTCTCTAACCCCCCGGGGACCGAGCACAGCCTCCCGGTTCTGCAGCTGTCCCCGCCTGCAGCAGAGGCAGTGTGACTCTGGGGTCAGTGGTGCAAGCAGCAGGTGCACCAACTATCTGGCCAAGCCAGTTCTGCAGCGAGACGCTGGGGGCTGCGTCTGGAGGCCCAGTGTGGAGCCTCTGTCTCAAGCCCTTGTGACCATTCTGTAACCCACTGGCTCCCAGACGGTGGCCCCTAGACTGGCAGTATCAGCAGCACCTGGGACCTTGCTAGAAAAGGAAATTCTCAGACCCCACGCCAGGCCCACTGAATCAGAAACTCCAGGGTGAGGCCCAGGAAACTGGGCTTTAACAAACCATCCCGGATAGGGGTACCTGGGTGGCTCATTCGGTTAGGCGTCCAACCCTTGATTTTGGCTCAGGTCATGATCTCATGGTTTGTGGGTTCGAACTCTGCCTTGGGCTCCACACTGGCAGCGAGGAGCCTGCTTGGGATTCTCCGTCTCCCCCCTCTCTCTCTCTCTGCCCTTCCTCCTCTCCCCCATGCACATGTGCACTCTCTCTCTCTCTCTTTCTCTCTCTCTCCAAAATAAAAAACAAAACACACACACAAACTTTCCTGGAGATTCTGACGCATGCTAAAGTTTAAGAAGCTTGCTCGGCTGACTTCCCCTCAGGTCATGATCTCACCACTCAAAGGCTCATGGGTTCGAGCCCCGTGTTGGGCTCTGGGCTGCCAGCTGGAGCCTGGAGCCTGCTTCGGATACTGTGTCTCCCTCTCTCTCTCTCTCTCTCTGCCCCTTCCCCATGCACGTGCTCTCTCTCTCTCTCTCCCTCAAAATAAATAAAAGAGAAAAAAAAGAAGTGCGCAAATCTGTAAGAGCCACTGTGGAGATTCAGAGAGGAAATTAATTAAGCCCACCCAAAAGGATCTCTGTGTGGCAATGAAGGCATTAAAGATCATGCTGTTTACAAAAGACATTCAAAAGAACAAAGTTGAGAAGCTAACACTTCCTAATTTCAAGACTTACTACAAAGTTATAGCAATCAAGATGGCTGCCGACACCTTTATGCTACCGACATAAAGACAGATAAAACTATCACTAGACTAGAATAAAAAGTCCAAAGATAAACCCATACACATAAAGACAACTAACTGATCTATGACAACAATGCAAAGGCAACTCACTAGAGAAGAACAAATGGTACTGAAACAATTCAACACCCACATGAAAAAATAAATAAGTAAAAGAATCTTGACCCATACCTCACACCATATACACATATTAACTCAAGCAGGGCTATAAACCCAAATGTAAAACCTAAAACTGAGACACTTTTTGAAGAAAGCATAGGAGAAAATCTTGGTGACAAGAGGAGGCAAAGATTTCTTACATGTGATGCCAAAAGCACAATCTATAAAAAAGTAAAATGAAAAATAAAAATTTTCTAAAAAGTTGATAAATTGGATTTCGTCAGATTTAAAAATTCTCTTCTTTGAAAGATGCTACTAAAAGAGAATGAAAACACAAATCACAGACTAGAAAAAAATATTTGCAAGGTATATATCTGATAAAAGACCTGTATCTGGAACATATAACGAGCTCTCAAAATTCAATAATAAGAAAACAAACAACCCAATTAAAAAATAGGCAAAAGATCTGAGCAGACATGTCATCCAAAAAAAAAGATACATGGACGGCAGTGATACTCAACATCTTTGGGAGGATGCAAATTAACCTCACAATGATATGCCATGACATTCCTTTTAGAATGGCTAGAGTCAAAAACATCAACTATTCCAAATATTGGCACAGATGCAGAGGAACCAGAACTCTCATTTACTGCTGGGGATGGGACAAAATGGTACAGCCATTTTGGGAAAAGCTTGGCAATTTTTAAAAAATCAAACACACTGGGGCGCCTGGGTGGCTCAGTCGGTTGAGTGTCCGACTTCGGCTCAGGTCACAATCTCACTGCTCATGGGTTCGAGCCCCGCGTCGGGCTCTTTGCTGACAGCCTGGAGCCTGCTTCGGATTCTGTGTCTCCCTCTCTCTCTGCCCCCGTCCCCCCCACCCCCGCTCACATGCTGTCTGTCTCTCTCAACAATAAATAAACATTAAAAATTAAAAAAAAAAACCACATTAAACACACCTTCCATATGATCCAACCATCTCACTTCTATGTATTTTCCCAAAAGAAAAGAAAGCATATGTCCACAGAAAGACTTGCGCATGTTTATAGCAACTCTACTCAGAATCTCAAACGATTATAAACAAACACCTGCTTAAATTGGGTGAAAAAGGAGGAAAAAAATCCATTATGATCAAAGATAATAACTGAGAATCAACTAAAATCCAGATCACGGTCTTGAAACCCCTATTGTAGGGCACTCCAATAATTAAGACATTAAACCCTTTTTGGAAAACAATAGAGACCCTTGGTACCATCAGAAAAGCTATTACAATTATTTTCATATCCTTAAAATAAAATAACCTGGGTAAGACAGTAAATAAAGACAATGTGGTACTTAATCGCCTTATATTATTAATCAGTTAAAACTTATTTTTTGTTGGAAAGAAAATTAAAGCCGGGAAGAGTCCTTTCACACGTAAGTAGATGGACCTTGGCGAATGCGTACCGTGGAATACTACTATTGCTCTACACAACAACCTGGATGAATCTGCAAATAATTAAACAAAGTGAGAGCAATTAGACAAACAAGAATGCATACTGTGTGATCGACTCCATGTATGTAAAACTCTAGACGTGACAAATTCACCTCTAGTGACAGAACGCGGATTCAGTGGTGGCCTGGAAAATGGGGAAGCGGGGGGGGGGGGGGGGGGGCCCAGAGAGAGTATGAAGGAGTTCAGGGAAACTTCTGAAGATGACAGGTATGTTCAGTATCTTGATTGTGGTGATGGTGTTCTGAGTGTAGAGAGGGGTCAAAATTTATCAGGTTGTAGACTTAAAGTCTGTCCAGTTTATCGGACATTAATTATCCCTCAATTAAGCTGCTAAAAAGAAAAGAAGACAGCAAGTACACCCCGTTTACACGGTGATCGCAAAAAATAGGTGCCCGTTAACCTTTGTGAATTGATTGATTAGAACCACAGCGCAGTTATGATTAAACCATGTACTGGTCGGCCCCGGCTGCCATAGAAAGTACCACACACTGAACGGCTTACGCAACAGAGATGTACTGCCTTATGGCTCCGGAGTCTAGAGGCCCGAGATCAAGTGTCAACGGCGTTGGTCTCTTCTGAGACCCCTCCCCTTGACTTGTCGATGGCCACCTTCTCCCTGTGTCCTCGCATGGTCTTCCCTCTACGCCTGCGCCTGTCTGTGTCTTAATATCCTTGAGAGGACACGTGTTCCTATGGGATTAGGTCCCACCCTAAATGCTTCACTTTTACGTAATTACCTCTTTGAAGTCCCTGTCTCCAAATACGGTCACGTTCAGAGGTATTGGGGGTTGGGACTTCAACAGGGGGTGGGGGAAGTGACACCATTCAGCCTGGGACAAACATGGTTTTCCATTTATATGACAGCACTTACCACACAGTTCATTTAGATGTAGCCTAATTTCCTTTAGGATATTCTGGTTGTGGGCGTAGCGAGACGATTAATAGAAGAGAGAATTTCGTGAATTAGCCCCTCGACTAAACTACCAAGAGCTGTACCTGGGTCCCTAAAAAAAAAAAAAAACAACCCCGCAGACAGGCAAGAGAGAAACCGGCAGAAGGAAAATGTGAGCTTTGGTGAGATGGTAGGGGAGGAACGGGGGTTGGAGACACAAAGGAAGGCCTGGCAGGCAACAGAACAGGAAGAGAGACAGGACCGTGAAGTAGCTTTTTCTTTATCCTCAGATCCTGTCTTACCATCAGACTACCACCCCGCCCCCCCCAAAGGAAAGTCATGACTTTACCATCTAAACAAACGGCCAGGTTTGCACGCAGAGCTCCTCCCTTGCTGTGCGCCCAGGCCTTTCTGAGCACCCCCCCTCTCTGTGGATGCCAAGGGCAGGAAATCCAAGCCGGAGGTGGGCAAGCGGGGAGATCAGGTGCGATACAAAGCAGGATGCTCCTGGGACAACCCCCTGCTGAGAGGGGCCCAAGTGTGGGCCTTTGAAAAGCCCCAGGTCGCTAGTTCGCACACGGACCTGTAAGTACTTTTGTTTAGATAATCAAACAAAGCTCGATTTCTAATTTGCATGGGTTTCTAGTTCCAAAGCCTTCTTGCTGTGCCCTGTGACAGCAACTTCCTCTTTGGGCCTGAGACCCTTGGCCTTGCAAATGGAGTGGTAGGGGGTTGGGGGGTGGGGAGGAGCAAGTGTCTTAACCTGGGCTTAAGATGAACTGCTTGTCAACATAATGTAGGCAAGAGCTAAGCATCATCCTTCCAGCCGTCTGATACGCGCCCCTACTTTGCACTCCACCCAAAAGAATCACAGTCCCTTTCCAAAGTTTTCATAAATTACTTGCATTTAGTTGAATGTTTGACCATCTTCCCATACTTCACTGAAACACTGGTGTAAAAGCAGGAGGCCCAGAGGACGCACCTATGCCACCTCTTTGGGAAAGTCATGTGGCCCCGTGAGGCCTCTCTTCGGGAGGAATTGTTCTCTGATTTCTATCTAAACCCAACAGAGTGAATTAAGAGGTAGAATCCTACCTGGTGTTTGAGCTGGACTCAAGATCAAGTGGACAGCTAGAGGATTATGATCCTTGAGGATTATGACCTTATTAATAATGATGGTGACCGTTTATTGAGTATCTACTATGTACCAAGCACTGTTCCAGACTATAGTATATGTGATTTAATTCCCACCATATTAAGAAGTCGATAATAATCTTCACCATTTTACACCCAGAA